CAACTTGACGATCGAACTTCTCCAATCGTTTTTCTCCGGCTAAAAAAATAAATAACCACATGAGTTAGATAAATTCATGACAAAATTAAATGAAATAATTAATACATAAAAATAAATAACGATAACGATGAAGAAGGCTTATCGACTCAAAACAGTTGATTATACATAATCCTGCTTTTAGTCTTCCTTTCCAAGTTGCTTTCATAGTGTCGCATGCACCACCTCCACTCACAACCTCTTTCGATGTCACTCATGGTTTCATAGAGTCATGCATGTCTATCTGAGATGATGCAGATATAATTACGATCGGTCAAACCTTGAAGGTGTCTCATGGCCAACTATCACTATTCTCGCTCTTCACTATGGCAAATGCAATTGGAAAAATCTTCTGCCGACCATCAAATGAGCTCGCCATGAGTAGCACTCCTTAATACTTTCCAGTAAGAAATGTTCCATCAACAACCATGACTCATGAACAATTCTTGACTCCATCTATACAAGGTCCATAAGCCCATAATACTCGCTGAAAGATCAAATGATCTGGTTGCGATGAAGGAACTCTTACCCAATCAATCACTGATGTTGGCATTTTTCTCTTTACCACTCGCAAAAACATTTCCAAATAATCATAGGATTCTTCCCAATTTCCATGCAACTCCAAAACTCTTTGTTTCTCATACCAAGCCTTCTTGTAAATAACTTGTATATTAAACTTATCTTTCAACTCAGCCTGCACAGTTAGAACACTCAGATTTGGTTGGGCACGTACCAAATGCTTCACGGAGTTAGATATAACTTTGACACCAAGATGACGATGATTCGTCGGTTGAGTCGTACTGCTACAAGAATGCACCAACTCAGCCTTTCTCATAGTCCATTCGCTTCTAACATCTCGATATCCAAAATGCACCATCTAAGCACAATTTTCATCGTTGTGCTTTAAGCATCTAACCTTCTAGATTGAAGGTGACGAATCCACCATGACATACTGAAAGTTGCGTTGTAGTGCGTAGTATTTAATCGCCACCTGTGCAGCTTGTTTGGAGTGAAATATCTTCCCTTGTAGAATTCTCCTTCAAAACTGGCAACAACAGGCATTGGAATTACGCCATATGAATCAGGATATAATAATTTATCGTCCTCTTTATTGTCCTGCAAGTAAAAATCTGGAGTATAATTAGGCTCTTCTTCCCCTTCCTCCTCCTCCTCCTCCTCCTCACCCTCATCATAGTCATGATCATATGACACTCTCCATGTCTCATCTTCACCTTGTTCCTGACTAATCTTAGCATGTATCTCAGCACCCAAACAATAAGGGTTTTGTGCCATAAAATCGAAAAGCACATTCAAGCTATCATCATCCACAATAGGCATCGTATAATGAAATATAACACCATTCTGTCATTCTGGAAGACAGTAAGCTAAGTGAAACCTGTGATCATATCACTATCTTGTACTGCTTCGTCTTTATGCCGTATTCTCAGAATTAGATTCTCACAAAATTGATGCTATGTCACCCTACATGGTTCTGTCAACTGAAGCTTCTACCATCAACGAAATAGACGCCCAAATTCTCTTATACTTTCTTCAATTTCCACCGAACGATTAGTTCAAATCTTCTAAAATCACTACATAAAAAAAACAAATTCGCTAATTACTAACTAAACAAAATCATAATAGCATTTTAATAATATAATTAAAAAATAAATGTGACTCTTATCTATTAGCCATCTTTGCAGCAACCAGCAAAGCTCTTCTTGTTTAGCCTCGTAACATCGAATTTTTGTGGTTAGCAACTTAAAGGAAATCGCTTGTTATGTGGTGCTGGAGTGGGTAGGCAAGGTAGAGAATCAACCCCAGACTGGAGCGGCTCCGCTGGTCAATTATTTTGGGAATCTTCACTATTTACACCAACAAATCCGCCTTAGACTCGAGCAGCTTCGCTAGTTCATTATTTCGAAATAAAAAAAATTGCGCAACCGCACCAGACTCACACAGGTCCGCACATTCCAAGTTCAAAAGCTCAAAAGATGGATCCGCCTGAGTCTAACGTGAACTCGCTATTTCTCCTCTCAAAAATATAATATTCTTGTCAATACTTTTAAAACCGCTCTATCTATGGTAAATGAAAAAAAACCCTATATTTTGAGAATTATCCCCATTTTGGTTTATTCTTCTTTCTTTCCTTGATCTTCGTTCCGTCAAAAGCCTCACGTTCTGAGCCCTCTTCCAACTCTTTTTTTATCAATAAATAGCTAGTATTACCAAGACTTTTTAATTTTTAGAAATGGTTTTGGAGTCCGAAATTGGTCGGATTGGAAGTTTGGTACCGGTATTTGCGATATACCGAATACCGTACCGAACTTATCATTATTTGGTATATTACTAAATATTGATTTATTTTTAGGGATCGGGATTGAGATTCAATTTGGAGTGCTATTTGGTATTACGAGATTGGGATCGGTATATACCGAATTATACCAAAATACCGAGAAACAATAAAAATTAAAAATTATTGAAATATAGCACACAACTTTTGGCCATTCCCCACTCTTTAATAACTCACAAGCCCCATCCAACTAAACTTTGGATTTTCAGTTTCAGTCACTCTACTCTCTCATCTAATATATTGTTATTTTCATAACATAAAAAAGACAACGCTAGTTGTAGTTGTCTTTCAACCTCCAATTCGTCGAATTAAAGATTACCAATGACAAGAACTTGAGTTGTCATCTCTCCTCCCTTCTCACTATCCATGTCCTAGTTTTAGACAAACTCAAGACTCTTTACTTAGTCTTTTTCCACTAAATTAAACAATCAAATCTAATTTATATATTTAATTATTAATTGCAAAGGTAATTAATTTCCTATTCGATAATACTGATTGGCATACCGAAATACTGATTCGGATACCGAAATATTTAGGGATTGGGATTGGAATACCGAAATTATTTAGAGATTGAGATTGAGATTAATTTTAGGGTGTAATTCAATATTCAAGATTTCGGTATTTAATATTGATATACCGATACCGTACCGATTTCCACCCAACAACCAACCAGCCTGTAGAAGTTTAACAATATTGAGCACGGGCACGAGCCTGGTGGGAGTTGTTACCTTTCGTAATCTTGGGCCCCGTAAAGGGGGAGCGGATCCCCTCAGTAACCAATACCTCAGTAACCATCAGTAACCCCTTCCCCTGGCCCCCACGTGTCAGCTTTTTCTTTTTATTTAAAAAAATACGGAGGGGCACTAAGGTAAAATTGCACCCCTATTTAATGATGTCTCTGACGCGCTGACGCACTGACGCTGACCAGATCACATCAGCGCCTTCTCTCTCCTCAAACAACCTTTAATTTTCCTTCTCTTAATCTTTAACGGACGATTTCTCACTCGTTTTAAGTCGGAATTTAATTTTTTTTGCACAGTTAGATCAGATTAATTGTGCTCTTCAAAATGATATCCACTTTGATATTTTTCAGACATAAAAAAATTTGTCAGTTATTACCAGTCATTACCATATGGTAATGACTGGTATTGACCATACCATATGGTATGAAAAAATTTGGCACATCAATATATATTACGTTACCACCCAATACCATATGGTATAGTGTGGTAATATCAATATATATTTCGTTACCACCCAATACCATATGGTATAGTGTGGTAATATCAACATATGGTAAATCTAACTACCATACAATGCCAACATAGTAGAACATGGTTAATCGAATGAACACAAATTAATTGTAATTACCATACAATACCACATGGTATGAGAAGTTAAAACCATATAAAAATAATATAAATCTAATTACAACCCTTTTACGACCATAGTAAAACACGATATCCATAAAAATACATTTCGTTACCACACTTTACCATATGGTATACATTTTACCATATGGTATAGACACATTACCATATGGTATATACACTTTACCATATGGTATAGACACTTTACCATATGGTATATACACATTACCATATGGTATATACACATTACCATATGGTATAGACACATTACCATATGGTATATACAAATTACCATATGGTATAGTGTGGTATATACACATTACCATATGGTAATGTGTCAATACCATATGGTATCGACACATTACCATATGGTATAGTGTGGTAATCTCAATATATATTCTCAAAGAAGGGGAAACAGAAGGAGGAAGAGGAAAAAAACTTGTCTTCTGTCTCCTGTCATTTACTCCTCCGCAATGAAGAACACCGAATGCAAAAAGAAAGAAAAAGAGGAAGAAGATCGGAATTAATTCACAAACAAATACTAAAACACAAAAGATGCAAACTCAACTCACCTAGATCTGTCCCCTCTTTGACAATATGGAGCATCATCGATTTTGAGGCCGATAAAAGAAAAAAACATAAGGAAGGAGCAGCTTGAGAGTAGAAGGATTTGGAGCCTCACCGAATTTGAAGTGGGAGGCTGCAATTTATTCATCGATTGTTGGAGAAAAAAATGAAGAACAAGAGAAGAAATGAGATTTAGATCTGGAAAAAGAATTTTGGAAGAGAGAAAGGAAGAAAGAGAAAAGAGAGAGGAAGAGAAAAGTCTGCTTTTTCTCTTTCCTCTATTAAAAGACAACACATATAAATGCTGGAAAAAATAAAAAAAAGGAAAGAAATCAAATTTCAAAAATCGGACAAAAATGCCCCTCCTCACTCCACGTGCAGCCCAACAATATAATAATGTCATCCCTAGATCTACGGTCCGGATTTAATACTGATAGGTCAGTAACCAATGGTTACTGACCCTATCTGCTGCCCCGTAAAGGAAGAATCAAACACATAAAAACGACGCGAGGAATGAAACAAGAACGATGGCCGACCACATCAATACCACCAACCTTATCGTCTGCTAGGACATCGCCTTTCACTGAAAAGAAGAAGAAAAAAAGATCGCCCAGCTGGTGGAATTATTGGGCAGTAGCACTAGCAGCAGTGGTACTTGGATTGTTTCCTATCCGATGAGCAATCAGCAATCTCCGACGGAATTAATGTTTTGGGACGCTCACCAGATCCGCCAGATAGATGGCTTCTGGTACCTGGTGAAATCTGCCGACCACATGGCCGCATTCAGGTCACGATTCCAGCCGAGAAGCGACGACATCGTCTTGACAACCTTCCGCAAAACAGGAACAACCTGGCTCAAAGCTCTCTGTTACAACATCCTCGACAAAGAACAAGACCAAGACCTCCTCGCGATGAAGAACCCCCACGAAGTGGTCCCCACGCTTGAGAACACTTTCCTCGAAGACAGAGTCCAAGATATATTGCTCCGTTTCCCTCCCGCCGGCCGGCTGCTCCACACGCACCTGCCTTATAGTTACCTGCCGGAGGCGGTGACGGACTCCAGATGCAAGATCGTGTACCTGGCTCGGAATCCCAAGGACACGGTGGTGTCGATGTGGCATTTCTACAACAAGTTATTCAAGAGCGGGCCGGGCGATGAGCCATACCCGTTGGAGGGAGCTGTGGAGAGCTTCTGCACTGGGATTATGCCTTTCGGGCCATTTTACGAGCACGTGGTGGGCTATTGGGAGGAGAGCCGGAGGCGGCCTCAGGAGGTGTTGTTTCTCAAGTATGAGGATTTGTGGAGAGAGCCAAAGGAGCAGGTCAGGAAGCTGGCTTCATTTCTCGGGAAACCCTTTGCCCAGCTGGAGGATGGAGATGGCGAGCTGGGGAAGGTGCTGTGGCGGAGTAGCTTGGAAAGGCTCAAGGAGTTGGAGGTTAACAAGTATGGTATTGGAGAGCTCAACCATGTGCTCAATTCCACCTTCTTTAGGCAAGGAACTGTACGAGATTGGGAAAATTACTTGATTCCACAGATGGCTCAGCGCATTGACCAGCTTACCCAGTCTAAATTGCAGGGGACTGAGCTTTCTCTTGATGATTAATTGCTGAGCTAATCACAATTTTCTACTACTTGTTCTTTTTTTTTTTTTTTTTTGGCTTCGTTTTGGTGTGTTGCTTTTGTGTCTTTTGGTTTTGACAATTTGTCGATTTCAGATTTCTTATAAAAAAAAGAAGAAAAAAGAACTCATATTTTTTTTTTTTTTTGTAATTCGGAAGAAAGAAGGTAGACAACGATGTGTTGATATGTACGTAACTGATTAATTGTGTATGCACGACTCTCAAGTTTGTTATTGAATAAGTTTGCAGAATATAATACCGTATTACGTAGAAAATTATTGATAATTTTTTCATGAAGACCTTCAAGATTTTATTTAAATTGAACAGCAAAAGGGTCCCAAAGGGGCACAAGAAGCGCAAATATTTTCCTCCATGGCAAACTATACTAGTTTAACCCTTAGTATCTTAGAACTACATAATTAATTCTTCACCGAAAATATGAAACTACTGTGTCATTCCTATGGACAGTGTCAAGGGATCGGTTAGCATGCTAACCCTTGTATGGGTTGGCAAAATGACAACCCCTATTAATTATAGGTTTTTAAGGTAATTAATTTGTGTTGCATTTAATAATCTGTATGAATTAAAAACACATATTAATTACTTTCCTTTTTTCAGTGCACTGGTAGTTGTATCAGTGCACTGGTAGTTGTATCCAGATTTAAGTCCTTAAATTTTATGATTTAAGTCCTTAAAAACCTATAATTAATAGGGGTTGTCATTTTGCCAACCCTTTTATGGGTAAGGTAGCTACAATTCCGATCTAAGTCCTTAAATTTTATGATTTTATGATCTTACTTACATGTTTCGATTATAATTTAATGCAAAGTTAATTTCTTTAAATTCAACGCTAGTCATGATTGAAATCCTTAACATCCAGATTTTCATAGGAGTGAATTTATGAATTCGTGGATTGGATTTGTTAAATCAAGGAATGGATTAAATGGATTAGTAGATTTATAGGTTGAATTCGTGGATCCAAGTGACATCTAACTTTTAGGGGTAAATTGCATGGTTGGTCACTGAGATTACAAAAAACGTTCATGTTTGGTCACTAGAAATATTTAATTCCGTTCGGGGTCACTAACTTTACATTTTTGTTTCATCATTAGTCACTCTCCGTCCAATTCCGTTAACTTTGTCTTATGTGACAGTCAACTCTAATAATTGACTGTTAAATAAGTGACGTGGCAATTAAAAAATAATAAATATATATTTTAATAATTTCCACCTCATTTTCGCAATTCTTAAAAAAATAATTCCTTTTAATCTAATAATCTCCGTAAATCATTCAAATCGAACCACTGTGTCCCACCAAAAAAAAAAAATCGAACCACTGCATAAAGGCGGCAGCAACAGCAATGCTGCCGGGCATGTGACCTGAGTCGGAAGCGGCGTTGCTTGGTGCCGGTGAGGAAGCAGCCTCCACAAGAATCCCTCTCATGGTGGGAGTCACTTCAAACAGATCCTTCTCGATGTAATCAGGCAGTGGCCTTCTCTTTGGTTCAGCTAAAGTTCAAACCCCAAATTAAAATCCAAACAAAAACCTAATCCCTAGTTTCACGAAACTTCCCAAACTGGCAAAGCAAATGCCCAATAAAAAAATATCCCAAATCACTGAGGAATAATGCTGGCACATCTGAGGCTCATCGCGGCTTCCACTCTGTCCTCAATCCCGACTTCGACCGTCGCGGCCGAGACTTCTTCTTTCGGAACGGGAGCAACAAACACGACCCTGCTCTTCTTCTCCTCCTGCATGATATGAAGGCTCTGCTCCCCATCCGCTTGCATTGCCACCGCCGCCCTCTTCCTAGCAGCGCGAGAGAGTGGAGTGCAGTTCTCTTGATTCGCCATCGGAACGACTAGCAATTTCAGGCGAACAGGTCTTCACGTTGGGTTTCGCCTCCAAAATTCATCTTCTTCTGGCACAAGGACGTTTACGGCGGCGGCGGTGCTGAGCGATAAGGGTTTCAGGCGAGCATCTCTTGGAGCGGCGGCAACGTTGGATGAATAAGGAGGAAGACCCACGCGGCAGAACAATAGGAATTAATTAGGGATATTTTTTGGTATTTGTTAGGTGGAATTGTTAAGTAATTATTTTTTATTAATTAATTATTTTTTAATTGCCACATCACTCATTTAACTGTCAATTAGTAGAGTTGACTACCACGTAGGACAAAGTTAACGGAGTTGGACGGAGAGTGACTAACGATGAAACGAAAATGTAAAGTTAATGACCACGAACGGAATTACATATTTTTAGTGACCAAACGTGAACGTTTTTTGTAATCTCAGTGACCAACCATGCAATTTACCCTAACTTTTAGACTATTCTGAAATATTAGGAACTAATATCATCCTAAACAAATTCAGATACCAAAAATGTAATTTTTTGAAGTATACCTGTGTTACAAAATTAAAGTTTAGGTATTAATTTTGTAAAATATATAAGTGTTGAACTGTAACTTACAACAATCCATTAAAATATGTGGCCTTATCTAGTGCTGACTAGGGGTGGGCATTGGGTGGGTCGGGTGGATTTTGACCATAAAAAATACACCCACCCTCGCTTAAACGGATTGATAATTTTTAACACACCACCCACCCACATTTAGTCTTGGGTTGGGTCGGTGGATGGTGGATGATGCGGGTGGGTTTGTGGGTTCAACCACATCACATTGTATATAATATAGAGGAGGCAATTTGACATGATAATAGGTGAAGAGAGTTACCGGGGGAAACAAGAAGATGAAATAGGGCGAAAAATGTCGAATTAGTTCTTAAATTGGATAGGAATTCTATTATGAAAGATTTTTCTACAGATTGAGATGATTATCAAGTGCATGGAACTAAGGAAAATAATTCCACAAAGGAAAGATCGGTGATCTAGGCACAAGAATTAGAGGGAAAAATAAAGGGAAGAAGAGGGGATCGCTATTTGGAAGGTTGACTTTGAGGTTCAAACTCTACGAGCAGTCCTAGTTTATGTCTAAAGTCTCCACTCTCCCCTCTCTAGCGCCAACGACTTTGATCTTTTTGCTATTGGGTTGAGCGGGTCACCCACGCATTCACCCTCAACCCACCTACCACCCGACGGATGGCTCCCAGCGCAACCTGTCACCCACCCACAAACCCACCCACTTAACGAAATTCGGATCAAATGCGGGTGGGTCGGCCCAAAACTGCAGATGATCCGCCCGCATGTCCAGCCCTAATGCCGACTGCATCACTTTATTTGATCATATTACTAAAAGGGCACGGTCAGTGACAACTTGGTTGAGGGTATAACAAGAGTGCCAACTCGGGGTATTATATGCCAAACGCTTTGGAACCACTAAGCACTCCAGTGAGTGTATAGCAATCACAATGGTCAATGACAACTTGGGGTATAACAAACGTTTCGAAACCATTGACCACTCGATTGAGCGTCATAACTAACAATCGCGATGGCTAGTGATCAACCTGCTGTAGAACAAACATTTTGTAACCACTGACCGCTTAATTCACTATAAGTTGACCCTCTGCTACTATATATATATATATATATAGCGCTGGTAAAGCTGTGGAATAAGCACAGCAGTATTTTGTCTCTTCAAGTTGTAGCAGTACTATTGTGTTTATGGGAAAATTCATAGCTCCAATTTGGTTGGACGGAGAAACTCCAATCTTGTCACATGGTAGTTTTTTGGGTTAATTGCATTGTTGGTCACTGAGATTACAAAAAGCGTTCATGTTTGGTCACTAGAAATATTTAAATCCAATCTTGGTCACTCAAATTAGTTAAATGGTTCAAGTTTGGTCACTCTCCGTTACCTTCCGTTAGTCTCCGTTAACACCGTCAATTATTTGCTGACGTGGCTAACAGACTCACCTAGTCACCTATTTTTGACAAAAATAAAATAAAATCCAATCTTGCCACGTCATAAAAGCTTGCCACATCATAAAAACCTGACCAATATGACCCAACCCATTAACCCATGATCTGACCTACCCCAAATTAAAACCCAAAATTGACCAGTCCTCAAAATCCCAATCCCTTGTCCGGAGAAGACGACCGGAAGAAGCTATTGCCGCCGACCAGCGCGCTGAAGTAAGCGTTGTCGAATCGGTTGGGGGAGGAGTCGAGTGGGGCCAGGTTTCCATCGCCTCCCGAGGCCGGGCAGCTGCCCCTCCTCGTGGTGGCGAAGTTGGCGTCGATGTTGGTCTCGTTGTAGATCCGGTGCGGAACCCGTCGCACCTAGCTTGCCCGATGGTGTGGCCACCGGAGAGCACGGTCATGTCGGCGGCGGTGAAGGCAGAGTTAGGGCTGGGAGGTCAGAGAACGGGGAGGGCAGGTCGTTGTTCGCGTCACTCTGGCTCGCCGTTCTTGCGTCTCTGCGGATTCGATCTCCGTCGCCGTAAAAACACTAGGCCTGGGTATTCGATCTGGTGCCTAGGTTATTCTTCCATTAAGTTAGGGAGAAGCAGATCCAGTAAGATAAAATAGAGAAAGAAGAACCCAAAAGAAGGATTGGAGCAGCCGCAAGATTTTATGACCAATTGAAGGAGCCGCAAGATTTTATGCCCAATTGAAGACCGCAGTAGCGAGCAACCGAAAGAATTGGAGCAGCCGCAAGATTCGGTCTCCTTTTCTGTCCGCCGGGGATTGAACGGCGTAGGAAGATCTATGACGGCGGCGGATCAGTTGGAAGGAGAAGTACAGCTGCCATTTGGGGAATCATCAAAATGAGCAACAAGATCCGAAGTGCCTGTTCTTGAAGCTACCGGCGGCGGCAATACCGGATATAGCAGAGGGATGGAGCCGCAGCTTCGTGATAACCGGGAATTGACCAATTCTTTGAGGATGGGTCAATTTTGGGTTTAAATTTGGGGTAGGTCAGATCATGGGTTAATGGGTTGGGTCACATTGGTCAGGTTTTTATGATGTAGCAAGCTTTTATGACGTGGCAGGATTGAATTTTATTTTATTTTTGTCAAAAATAGGTGACTAGGTGAGTCTGTTAGCCACGTCAGCAAATAATTGACGGTGTTAACGGAGACAAACGGAAGTTAACGGAGAGTGACCAAACTTGAACCATTTAAATAATTTGAGTGACCAAGATTAGATTTAAATATTTCTAGTGACCAAACATGAATGCTTTTTGTAATCTCAGTGACCAACCATGCAATTAACCCGTAGTTTTTTATTAGTGAATCCATTTTTCATTTTTTTTTAATATTTTAATACTTAATTTGTTTAGTATAATTAAGAACATTAAATATTAAGAAAAAAGGAAGGTGAGTACACCAATAACAAACTAACATGTGGCTGGTTGGAACTTCTGCGTCCAACCAAGGTTGGAGCGAAGAATTTTCGGTGCTTATTGCCTTGTTTTGACAGCGATAAAGAATGATAATATGGCAAAGGAGTTGTTTTGGAACTCACGCGCGATCGGACAGATAGATGACTTCTGGTATTTCATGAAGGCAATGGATGCCACCGCCGCATTCCAGTCAGGATTCCAGCCGAGGAGCGACGACCTTCTCTTGACATCCTTCACAAAAACCGGAACCACCTGGCTCAAGGCTCTCTGCTACAACATCCTCGACAAAGAAGTAGGAGAAGACCTTCTGGCAGAGAAGAACCCACACGAAGTTGTTCCCACCCTCGGAAACACTTTCCTCAAAGACCAATTCCAACGCATGTTGCTCGGTTGTTCGTCTCCTTGATTGCTCCACACTCACTTGCCTTACAGTTACTTGCCAGAGACGGTGAGGGAGTCCGGGTGCAAGTTCGTGTACGTGGCTCGTAACCCAAAGGACACGCTGGTGTCGATGTGGCATTTCTACAACAAGTTGTTTAGGCGCGGCGGCGGTTATGATGAGCAGTTCCCCATGGAGGGAGCGGTAGAGAGCTTCTGCAACGGGGTTCTACCCTACGGACCTTTTTACGAACACGTGGCGGGCTACTGGCAATACAAAAAAGAGGAGGTTTGGGGACGACGAAAGTCGTCCCCAGAAATAGGAAAAATCGTCCCTATAGTTTTTGGGGACGACTAGGTTCCGTATACTCTTGTCCTCTATTCTTTTGGAGACGACAAAAATCTAGGTCGTCCCCATTACTAGGGACGACAGTCGTCGCCGATACTCGCAAGTCGTCGTTTCGTTTCTTTTATGTGAAAGACAACTCGTCGTCCCCATAGCTATAACTGTAGCGACAATTAGTCGTCCACTAAACTTCATTTGCAGGGACAGTTTTGTCGCACATAAACAATTTCATGATTGTGTTGGGCCTATTTGGGGATAATAAAGTGTCCCCTTTTTTTTTTACAAGCTCGACATGTCGTTCCTATAGGTATTAAATTGAAGTTTAAAAGTCATCCCCAAAAGCTTTATTCAATGACTGCGAGTGATCTCTTATACCATATCTTTAGGGACGACAAGTTGTCACCTATGACTTTTAAGGACGACCAATTGTCCCTTTAGTTGTGTATCGGGGACGAGGAATTGTCACTTATACACATTTTAGGAACAACAAATTGTCCTTTATGAAAGTCGTTTGACAACTTGTTGTCCCTTAGCATGTGTCTTTGGGGACGCCTAATTGTCACCTGTATCACTTATAAGGACGATTAATTGTCCCTTGTATTTTGGAGACGCCTAATTGTCACCTATTTAACTGTTATGGATGACCAATTGTCCTTTAAGTAGTGTCTTCAGGGGCATCAATTTGCTTAAACAATGTCTTTGGGGACAAAAGATTGTCACCTATGTGAGTTTGATGGCACATGTTACCTCGTGAATTGTGACTAATATAGTGGAACTTTTAGGAATGACATAACACATTTTAACTCAATATAGGAAAAATGTCATAAAAGTATCTCCATAAAAATTAAAACAAAATTACTACAATGCAATCCAATCCAACACCATAAACTAACATTCATCTTTTGAAAGGATAAACATTCTCTCGTAAAACTAGAGAAAGAAAAGCTAAAAAAGAAATAGATAACAAGTTTCAAATTCATAATTTGTTCTAGTATCTCTCTAACAAAAAATATACTAAAATCTTATCTCTATATACCACAGTATGTCCTGGCCAATAAACATTCTTTCTTCTCGGCTCCTGAAAGTGTAATCAGGAAAATTTTAAAAGTTAAATATATGGCAAGGACATTAATTGAATCAAATGGAAGTAGGAACTCAATTGGGTAAAAAAGCATGGAGTACAAATAATGAAGACACAAGTGAATTAGTACCAAACTGAAGCAAAGCATGACTCTACCAATGTATGAATCAACAAATTCACACTAATTCACACTACAGAGATGCTTGGAAAAACAACCCACTGATGTCATATATGAAACAACAAGTACCAAAACTGTTGGGTATATGACTCGGATCTCGCCGGGTCAAGAGACTAGGCGTGCCAGCACTGACGCGATGCGACCGCAACCTGAGCGCGCCAGTACCGGCGTGACCTAGACCACAACCCGTGCCCGAATACCGAACGACGACGTTCGGGTCAGGCGTTGACTAGACACGAAAATCACGGAAACGGCGCCGCATCCCCTCTAGGAGTGGTCACCATCACAGTCCTAGGTAGAGTTATGGGCTAAATGTCCTTCCTAGTGGCCTAAGTCCCTGTCATGTCAGTGGTCATGTCACCATATAAATCACCCACCACCATGTAGCCTATAAATATGGCATTTACTCCGGTGGGTGAGGTGATCGCATTTTCGGAACTCTATCTCTACAACTATCAACTTCTCTCTCTAAAAGACTGATAATCAGTACACACTCTTCCTTTATTCTTGAATCGGAAAACTGGTTCTCATTAACTGATTCTCTTGTCCTCATCGCCTCTTTCCCTTGTTCTTGGAGCTTCCCTAAATCCTTCTAGCTTACTCTCCTTGACCCACCTTCCCGAGTCTCACTCCTACACCCAGTCAGGCTCAAACAATTGGCGCCCACCGTGGGGCCAAGCAGAGAAGTAAGAAGAAACCGACCAATGGCTGAACATAACTCCAACTCGCCTGAAGAAGCAACGCCCATCAAAGCGATGACCGACCCAAGGGTATTCGCGGAAACCAGCAACCTCAACGCGGTGCTCCTCGAAGAAGAGGAGCCCGAGCTCACAGCCAAGAAAATGAGGCAGCTAGTGGCAAAGCAAAACAGCGTCATAGCCGACATGCAAAAACAAATGAGCCAAGTTATAGCGCTCATGATGAGCAAAGAAGTCGCGACGACAACAGACGCGACACCAGTCGTGCCTCAACAAGCTACAGGAGAAGCATCAGGGACGGCCCCGCTCCCACAACCAGCGCCAGCCGAACTTCCCGCGTGCGAAACGCAACAAGTCGAGCTACCAGGCAGGGCGGACCTCAGTTTCCTGGAGCAACACCTATCTCCGCAATACCGCACCAACCCACCCAGAAAAGCCCTTCACCAACCGCTAAGCGCAGATCATGGCAGAGCACCTGAGCGGAATGTCACCCGCCCTCCCAACGTATAACGGGACGACCGATCCAAAGGACCACGTGAGCACCTTCTGCCTGCGGATGCAACTCCAAACCAACTCCAACGCGGCGCTATGCAGAACCTTCCCATCAACTTTCTCCGGAATATGCCTCGATTGGTATAACAGGCTCCCGAACGGGATCATCCGCTCATTCGAGGAGTTCATACTCTTGTTCACGACAAAGTTCGCATCCCAAAATAGAAGGCCTCTCCACCTCAAGGCGCTGATAGACATCAGGCAAAAAGACAGAGAAAGCCTACGAGCGTTCTACGCTAGATGGTCTAGGGTGGCAATGGCTGTGCGCGACCTTACGCCCGAAACCGCCGCCCATCACCTGATGGAAGCCACCACCAACATGGAGCTCAAGCGGGCGTTAGCGAAAAGACCTGTCCCGCTATCGACAGAGTTGGAAATGAAAATCGAGAAAGCCATTACGCTAGAAGAAACCCTCGGAGCAGGATCTGTCAGGCGCTTCGAACCAGCAAAATTGCCCCGAGAGGATCAGGGGCGGAGGCAGCTCCCAGTGCCGCGAGAGCAATTGGTGCAACTACACAGCGGGCCAAAACGCCACCCCCTTCCCCCACAAGAGCAAGCTCAGCGAGGACGATCGCCACACAGGCGCGCATCAACCGCCTACACACCACTCAACGACTCTGTGAAAAACATGTTTCACGTTCTCCGCGAGAAGGGTTACAAGATCTATTGGCCCGCGCCTTTGAAATCCTCGCCTCACATGCGCGATCCAAAAAAATATTGCGACTTCCACAGAGCAACGGGGCACTAGACAGAGGATTGCAGAGAGCTACGTTACGAAATAGAGGGCCTCATACGAAGAGGACTGCTGACTGAGTTCGTCCACGAGAAGGAGGAACAAGTAGAGCGTCCCCAAAACCCGCCACCACCTCCGCAAGCCGACTACAACGAGGCCACTGGCGCGTATGTAGTGCGAAAGGAGATAGGGGTGGTAACAATAGAGGGAGACCGCCCCGAAAAGAAGACTAAGCGCGAGCGTGCAATAGAATGCGCGGCGGTCGAGACACGGGCAAGGTGCAACCTGAGCTTCGATGACGCAGAGTTCCCGCAAGGAACCCCATCGGAAGACCCACTCACCATCACTACGCTAGTTGCCGCCTGTAAGATTCACCGTCTACTGATAGATGGGGGAAGCGCGGCAGACATTCTTTTCAAGAGCACGGTCGACCAAATGGACATCGACCCGCGGCTAATCAAGCACGCGCAAGGCAACTTAGTTGGGTTATCCGGGGCTAGGGTGCCGGTGATCGGTGTAGTTACTCTTCCAGTAGTAATAGGAGACCAGGAGCCACTAGTCTCCAAGCAGGTCGAGTTCACGATAGTCGACTGCAAATCACCACACAACGGCATCTTTGACCGGCCATTCCTAGACAAATTCGTGGCCCTCCCGTCAACGTGCCACCAAAAGCTCAAATTTCCCACCAAAATGGGAACTGGAGAGGCGCGCGGGGCGCCATGGGAAAAACAAGAGGGAAAGCGCCGAACCAACATTGTTGACACGCTTCTTGAGGAACAATGTCCTGTCTAGTTTCGGGGTCCCGAATGCGCTCATCTTCGATCACGGGAAACAATTTAATTGCGCCGAGGTGATAGACTTATGTGACAGTGTGGGGACCATTGCAAAATTTGCGTCAGTAGCTTATCCCCAAGCCAACGGCCAAGCGGAATCTGCCAACAAAGCAATCATGCACGGCTTGCACACCCGCTTGAATGAAGCTAAAGGTAATTGGGCCGACGAGCTTAACACAGTGTTATGGGCACACCACACCACGTACAAAGTGGCAACAGGCGAAACCCCTTTCACGCTCACGTATGGCACGGACGACGGTGATCCCCGTCGAAATGATAGCCCCGACCTATCGAATCACGATGTACAACGAAGAAACCAACGATGAGGCGCGCTTGCTGGATTTGGAATTGGCACAGGAAAGGCGCGAGTTAGCAGCCATCAAGCTGGCCGCAATGAAGGAGCAGGTAGCCAAGTACACCACAACGCGAAACTGGTCCCCCACAAGTTAACCCTCGGAGACCAAGTGCTGCGACGGAACTTCCGCCCCGACCCCAAACACGGGAAACTCGCCTCAGTATTGGAGGGCCCATACATAATACGCGAAGTGGTCGGCGCCAACACCTTCAAGCTCAGTGAATTGGGGGGCAACAAGACTCTGAGAACGTG